ATTCAACTCCATAACGTGTCTTTCCTAGTGAATTATAGTTTGAATTTGTTAATTAGAAGGCTAAAACCGCTTTATCTGCTGTAAAAACATACAAGAGAATGTATGAAAGTTACCTATGCCAGGTGCCCCACCGCATAAAAGGATTCGATAGTTTGTCTTTGCCGTGGGAGTTTCTTTTTTTATAGCTTCTTTTTTATCTAAGGAATTACAAAAATTCCTGTCAATCACATCAATAGCTTGCTTAAGGTCACGTTGTTTTAGAGCCATGGGCTTGGGCTTATTATTGTCTACATTGTCTACGTTCATTTGTTTATGAATTCCCTCCAAAATCTTTTTCATGGCATCTTCGATCGACGTCACTATGTTTTGTAAACAATAAGAAAGCACAGTGTATTAACAAATAGATACGGTGCAAGTAACCTATATGTATCAATAATGGCGGGCCAGAATACAAAGACTAAGACAACACAGGAAATTTAACTAGAGATACCGTACCTTGTGGAACGCCTTGATGAGAGGGACCTACTTTAACGCGAAAAAAAGAGATCAGACCAAATCTATATTTTGTTACTGCAAAATTTCTTGTTCGAGAGGTAAAACGTTGGGAGACACTTACCAGTGGTGGCGGGCGGTTGTGGCCGGACGATTATTATGTGGATATGTTCATCGACTGGATCTTCAGAGAAGTAAAATTTAATTTCTTTCCTAGAGGACATAACCTTACCCCCAAGTTCTTCAATGTTAATATCAGAAGGAGGCTTGGTATTAAGAATTTTCATTCTTTCGACATCTTCGTCAGAAATACTAACTTGCCATAGGATTAAGTCTTTTGCGTCAATATTGTCGAAACTCATTGGATTTATTTTAGTGATTAATTCCCTGAGTTCCCCAACTTTCTTGTCACTAGGAAGTTTAACCGGGAAAGCAGTTTCAGTGTTATCACCTAGAACGATACAAAATACCATGATTTCACTATATCTGCAATCGCAAAAATCGAGAGTTAAAAACGAGGGTAAAACAAGTAATTTTTCAGTATAACACAAGTAAAAGACCTTATGGATACAGCGTTAGATCTGGGAATTTTCCTCGAAATTAGTTTGTACCCGGAATGGCGAAGGTACTCGAAATAGCGAAGAGTAGCTTGACATTTTGATTATATGTTATATATATATATATTTCCATATATGGCTGTTGACTAATTACTACGAACTGTGAGTCAGTAATTACTACGAACTGAGTCAGCGATGTGTCAAGGATCAAATACAAAATTACGAAAAAAATTTATCAATCAAAAATCAGCCACATGTCACAATGTCACATGAGAGTGCCAATCAAAATAATTCCTGATCGGCGAAACTAAGACTACGCAATATAAGATATTAATATTCCGGTTATGACTGTGCATTTACAAGGAAGCGACTCAGAGCTTGCAAAGCCAATATCTATTTTTTTTGTTCAGAACTTTCGAGGAACTTATTAGGCAGAGAACATAAACTTTTGGTGAGTTTTAATATTGCTAATTTATTTCTGACTCCGCGCGTATTCTATGCATAATTGACCCTTTTATTCTATCCAGAATATTGACGTTGGGTAAATGAAATCGGATTAGAGTTAATGTTGAGATATTATGTTAGTATAGATAGTTTAGATGAACGAAACGCCAGCAGGCATTAGTATAGAGACTCTACTTCACTTTGTAAAACGTTTATGTATTTTCGAATCTTGTAATTTATTTTTTTACATCAATAAATCAGTAATTCCGATCGTGACATTTTGTCACGGTTTTTTATCTATGCTAACGAACTTTTGAATTATTCCATCTCATATAAAAAATTATCATCGAACATGCAATCCACTGATTCATTGAGAGAATTAAATGCCAAGCTCTTAACTGAGATTGCCGAACTTATGAAAGAGAATGATGAGATTCCTGAACTCAAAGAGAAGTTACTAAGATTTGCTGAGGTTGAGGCTGAGAACTCGAAGCTGAAGCAAATTATTGAAGAGAATGCAAGGCGTGATTCTGAGAATGCTGAACTCAAGTCTAGAGTCGGAGAGCTTGAGGCTAGACTTGCATTATTAGAACAGAGTTCAGCAGTGGAAGGGATGGCGTTGTCATTTGGTTGGACACAAAACGGTGAAGAAGTGATGCCAGTGGTGATGGTACCAACTGTTGATGTACCCGATTCTGTAATAGACAAACTCAATAATGAAGTAGGACGAGCACCTAGTGACCTTGATGGTAATGATGAGAAAATGGTCGATTTCTTGGATGAGGCGTATAAGAAAAGCATTAGCAATGAGATTAGAGAGAGGAGACTGGAAAAGAAGCAGAGAGATCAAGAGGCACTCGTAATTTCTCAGGATGTGACTAAAATTCCTGAGGTCACGGACATGTTAACTTCAGAGCAAGACTAGCAATACTTATCACAATCTTATGAGGCTAGTTCTGAAAACATAAGATCAGCATCTTGTTTCTTATCAAAGCAACCGCAAGTTAATGCATCCAAATTAGCATGTAATCTTGAAAACCGTGAAGATTCTTCACTATTGAAGTCATGTGACATGGATGAACTTAAACCTGATCAGCATGATGAAGTAATTGCCAAGTTGGATAAAAATATAATTGTGTAATAGGAGTTAAAGCAACAGTTATCGTCACCTGCTCACACTCTTTCATCAGATCAAATTTTAGAATAGGACTCGAGCTCATCAGATACTGCGCAAAATATAGCTTGCATGTTTAGAAAAGCCATTAAGGTTGGTCAAGAAGCAATTTTATACTGGTGCTATTTTATAGAGAAATATGACAAAATGATTGATAACTTTGTTGTTGATGGAGTTAAGAAAAAAACTGCAACATCTATGGTATATCAAGAAATCAAACAGCTTTTACCTGATATAACAGATGTGAATTTGCGCCAAAAAATCCTTAGAGCTAGAAAATTATATAAATTATTCAATACATTAGGAATAGAGAAAATTAAACAGGTCTCTTATAGTGCAGATGCTATTTCGAGCCTCAGTTACCCACAAATACAAAATATTATAGATTATGTGAATTCAGTGACAAGTTCACACAATGAAACCGTGAAGATTCTTCATGATCAGAGTCATGTGACTTCAAAAATTAATCATATATTCCTCCAAAAGCACCTCAATCTAAGCCAACTTATGATTGATCCTACTTTTGTAGCAAAATATTAGATCAATATCCTAATTTATATAGAGAATTTAGTAGCAAAAATTTCGATTATTATGGAAATACTGATGAAACATCATGCCCATTATGCAGTTTAGATCATAATGATGATGACAGCATAGAAGGTAGATATAAAACCGGATCCTATTTTATTAAATGTGAACAGCGTGAACTTGAGATAACTGCATAGTTTCATTATTTTACAATACTATATTTGCTCATACTTTATTGTGATATTTTTTACAGGACTAATTCATGTTAACTATTACCTACATCAAGAAATTTGTTTAGGCGTAATTTAGTGTAATATTTCGGAGGTGGTGTAAAATTTTGAAATATTACACTAAAAACGTAATATTACAAAGTTTACGCTCTTAAATTTGAATAATTATCGTAATTTAAGAATATTTCGCTATCTACT